AATAAAACCTATTAAATTATACCTATGCGGCAATATAATTTTTTCCCTTCAAAAACCGTTATTTTTTATATATTTAACCTCTCATTTAATTATTAAATAATCAACACACTAATCACTTCAAAATTACAAATATCATTTTAAATTTTTCATTTACTTACAACTGATCATATAATGTATTGACTATTTAATGTGATTAGATGTTATTATTGTGGTTACATTTAAATTAACTTCTTTTGGAAAATAAAAACGTATTTGAAATTCCTAAATAAATAATAAATAATTTCACAAAAAAATGTACATATCAAAATATACATTACATCCAATATGATGAACACAATTTTGAAAAAATAAATATTTCAGTTTAATTGTAAATTTGGCAAAAATCATTAATCATATAAAATACAAATAACTCACAATACTTTATTTATATATGTGTACAAATGCACAGGTTGAATACTAGTCACTATTAATAGTATCACTTATATGTTTGGTATTACACTATTCGTACGTGAAGACTTTTGGGTGTGATATATATGATATGAAATTAATTTGGTTTTGATGGGTTTTTTTGTATTAATTATAGTTCATTAAAAAAGTTGTATGATTTGTTGTTAGTATATTTGAATTTATATTAAATAATATTTAAGATACAATTATTAAATGATTTGATGTGAAAATATAAGATACATGATATAAGTTGATGGTTAATTAAAATTACGTAGGTAATGAAGAATGAAATAAAATTGATGTACGAGTAAAGATGATTGATCAGTATTATAATATTATTTAATTATATAGATAATATTAGGTATAATGGTATCTATATATATATTAAACTGAAGCAGCTGGAAAAAAAATTGTTTTCCCTCCCATTTTATATTAAATGTTACTCATTAATGGTTTGATAAAATTAATAAATATTGTCTAAAAATTAAAAGTCTTATTGGAATTGTGTATAATAGATAGTAATAATATTATTGGGAATGTTGAATAAGTTGATAATTATTTAGAATGTTGTGCTAATTCTACACATCTCTATACATCTAATAATTAGATCAAACAAAAAAAACATAATGATTAATGTCAAATTTTCTATTAATTGTCCTCAATGGACTATTTATTTAAATTTTTAAAACCTTCCACTTTGGATATTTTAAATTATAAAACTATATTATGTTTTCATTATAAAACCACAATATAAGAGCCTAATGTAGTCTTAATTTAGTTATACATGTTTCACAATTGTGGGTCATTTTGAAATTGTAAATTCATAACCACATAATATAAAACCTAACATATATTTAATTATAATAATGCGGTAAAATAAAAGTTTATAGAATTTAAAAGATTAAAAGACATCATTTTTATAGGATGTCTTTATGTTTAATTCATTGAGTAAAATTTTCACTGCAAAAAATCATAAAAACTAAACAGAAAATTATAACATATTAACAATTATTCTCAAAATTAAAAGTATATACATATCTATCTATACAATTGAAATATCAATAAAAAATATTTTTCTTTCAAAACTTTATTTATGTTTATGAGATCGACATATTTGTATTGAAACATATTATACATATAAACAAAAATAGAAAGAAGATACAAAGAGAAAGCAATGACAAAAATAATAAAGTTAAATTTTACATGTAGTTAAATTAGAAGAGACATGATGTTCAAAATAAAAAAATAAAAATGCATCTATAGGTTTTTTTTGGGTCAAGGTGTAAACCAAGTGAAAATAGGTCTAAAAAATTGCGGATAACCTACTTGGGAAGTAAAATTATTTAGATTTAGGTTTCATAACCATAACAATAGAATTAAATTTATACATAATAACACATTGGAAACTTCATTCCAATTTTCATGGTCAAATAAATTTGAAACAAATTCGTCAAATTCTATGTAGACCAATATAATGCGGCAAAATAAAAGCTTATAGCATAAAAACTGAAAACCTAGCAGTTATAGATAATTCAAATAATATCAATATATTGTTTCTTTTAAAGGCTAATTTAAAAATATTATTATTGTAAATTTCCAATCCAATTTTTCATTTACATTTTTCCTATCTTCACAAATGATTATTAAATTGTTCTTATTGATTGGTGGACCAGTCCAAGTTTAATTATAACCTCATATTTATTAAATATATCCATATTTACTTTTTCAACCGATCGATAACTTAAAAAGAGAAAACATGACGAAATAAATTCTAAAAAAAATCTATTAAAATATTTAATTCTTAAAGAGTTCTAATATATTCATATGGAGCATTATATATCATAATCATAAAAAAATATTCAAAATACATTAAAATAGTTTTGATTGTGAAGTATGGAGAGGAAAATACATATACATCGTTCAATTTTTAATTAATTTCCAGTTATATATTAGGCATTTTCATATTGATTTTGTTGTGATTAGGAGTATGTTGTTTGGCCAAAATACATAGTTTGTATAATTTTGTTAATATTTCGTCAGTACAATTTATTTTAGCTTTTTCCAAAATCTTGAAGAGACCATTTAAACGCATGTGCATAGTTTTTTTTTCCCATTTTAGTTTATTTCTTGGCCCATATTTATATAATAATATATTTTTGAAAAGAAAATGCCTAATGGGTAATCTTATTATTAATTTTTGTTTATATATCGATCATTAAATTTTTTAGAATGGCCGGATTGTGACAGATAAAATTTCACACAACATACTAAAGATGTTGGTTTACTTTTTATTATTTTAGAATTATATATTATAATTTAAATATTTTTATTCTTATTATTTTTCATGAATTTATCAACATGTATTTAAAAAATAAGTTAAATTAAAATTATCATAAATTCCATGTAAAGTAAGTGTTGGTGTTGACTTAACATTGACTGTTACCATTTTGAATGTTTCAGGAATATAGTTTGGAAGTAAAATATCTTAAAAGTTTATAAAAAATATATATTTTGATATATAGACCTAATGTTTTCTTACTGTTCACAATTAGACGGACATACACTGTTAAGTTTGTATGCGAAATAAAAAATGAGATGGTTTTGTTTTATAACATGACATGAAGTTAGGTTTCGTTTATGGGTAAGCGATAGGGTAATGATACGAAATGAATATTGTGAAAGGAGAAAAAAAAAGAGAAAGAAAATGATGACAGAAAGAGTGAGAGTATCCCAACCATAAGAAAGAGGGAACAGTAATGGCGTGATTTTTATTTTGAAGACTGGGCAAGAAAATACATATTTATTATTCTATTATTCAGTGAAAATCTATATTATACAAGGTCTTTTATATAGATTTCAGTACCAATTAATTAAATAGTTTGAGCCAAAAATGTATCGTTATTTAATTTATTGTATTTTTAGTTGGTATCATTTGTTCTATATAGGTCTAGAATTTGAGATAATCTAACAATTTGCTATTAAAGAAACTATCATCATTTTAACTTTTATATATCGATCTTCAAGTTGTAGCTGTTTTTTTTAATGAATAAAATAACATATTGTCATCAATATTATTAATTTTTTATTCATAGAACACATATACCAACTACTTTTTTCTTATCATATATCATTAATGTTTGTT